GGGAGAACTCGAAAAGTGTTATTTAAGAAAAATGTAAAATCCCCATAGCCCCCTATCCCATAAGTCATAAACACTCCCCTACCTCAAACATTTTAACCAGATAGCTTAATGTTCTGCCTCTTAATGAGTTACCTACAAAAAGTCTCATGGCAGAAATGTTCTGATAATTGGGGCTGCCTGTGGCTGAACCACTTAAAATTTACAGTATGCATCCATCAGCCGAGTTGATCTCCATAGGAAAGCCAAGGTCAAGCAGAGACTTTTCAAGCTTATTCTCAAACCTTGCTTGTAATACATTTAAAAAATCTAACTATCAGTACTGGTTTATTACCCAAGCTTGAAGATCAACTCAGCTAGATTATTCCTACTAAAAAAAGCATTTTTGTTAATTTACCTTGTGTTTTACTTGTTTTTTACTCTGTCTGGCAAAGATACACTTCCCTCACAAAACAGAAGTTCTTGTATTGATGATATAAGAATGAGTTGCCTACATGTACACTGTATAGGCATTACTGCATTTAACAGGTCAAAGATATTCCACAACTCTGTCGTTACAACTTGTTTTGAGAAATCTTGTCCTCTAGCTGTAATAAACCACCTTTGATTGACATCTGTAAACTCCTCAGCCTACAGCTCACCATTCCTTTTGCATCTACTGTATACCCATTGGGAATTCATCTTTATATGGTTTTTATGCATGCATATTGTACATACATTAAAAATATTTTTGGCCTTTACTGTTCAATGTTAAGACATCATTGGACACTACCCAATGACACTGCTATGTACGTACTTCTACTTCATCTACTCCTATCCTTCACAGATGCTCTAATATCAATTATAAATGCAGCACTTGTACAATCCACTGGACATCCATGATTCTATTTCAGCTGTAAAAAGTATATATACACTGTACATGTTATTGGTGCTTTAGGTCATGGTTCTGCATCTTCTAAGGCATCATGCCATTCTATGCTCTCAGAACTGCTGCTGTCATTTCCACCATCGCTTTCAGTATTATCATCATTAATATTACACCTTGGTTTCATCTCTGTATCACTTTTACTGCCAGCATCTTTAGCTCTTGAATGGCATGAATCACTGTTTTCTTCTGCTTCACAGAAGGTATCATTCTGTTTCAATCTCTTGGCTGATAACTCAACCCCATCGGCTTGATCCATGTCAGCCTTTCTCTTCCGAGACTGAACTCCTGTTGAATCCCCTTGCTGTGGGGGACTAAAACAACCTCGTGATAGCCCATGGAAAGGTAGACAAGCAAAACTACTTGATGATGGTTTACTCATTTGAGACTTGGTACTATGATCTTGTTTTTCTTCCTTGACATTTGGGCATATTCCCTGTTCATCTGTGCTAACTGAATGTGCTGTACTTCTCAAACAGCTTTTAGAGAGACCATATATTGGAAGAAATGTGCATGGGTAACTGGGATTTTGTTTTGCAAGGGCCATGGTATTGGCTGGGTCCTTTGAGCCAGAAGGGACATCACTAGAAGTTGAACCATTATCCTTATTGTGCTCATTTGACTCAGCTTGTACAGATACAGAAGGGACATTACTACAGACTGGGTCACTGTTGCTGCTGTGCTGTTCCCCTACCTCAACATCCCATGCACCAGGACATGCATGTACAATACCATCAGAGATTTGGCTATGAACAACAGCATTTTCACTAACATCTTCTTGCAAACAGCTACCATATACTGCATTCTTCTCTTTGTCATAATTTCCTTTGGGCTGAAAGATAATTGCATTATTAGTAAAACTAGTAAAACTGATGTATGTATCACTGCTTGGCCCTTGACTCACCTTTGAGCAACACACCTCCTTCTGTTTGGTAATCAGTTCACCAAGTGACTGCTCAGATGTTGACAAGGATACAAGTTTCCCAGCAGCTTCGGCATTTGAATGGCATGAATCACTGTTTTCTTCTGCTTCACAGAAAGTTTCATCCTGTTTCAGTCTCTTGGCTGATAACTCAACCCCATCAGCTTGATCCATGTCAGCCTTTCTCTTTCGAGACTGGACTCCTATTGACTCTCCTTGCTGTGGGGGACTAAAACAACCTCGTGACAGTCCATGGAAAGGTAGAAAAACAAAACTACTTGATGATGGTTTACGCATCTGAGGCTTTGCATTATGATCTTCTTGTTCTTCCTTGACATTTGCACATATTCCCTGTTCATCTGTGCCAACTGACTGTGCTGTACTTCTCAAACAGCTTTTAGAGAGACCATATATTGGAAGAAATGTGCATGAGTTACTTGGATGTTTTTCTGGAGAGGCCATGATATTCTCTGGGTCATCATTGTTGTGGTGCTGACTTGAATCTACAAGTACTGTAGATGTACCATGTGGGACATCATTACATTGTGGGCCATTATAGTCATTTTCTTCAATTGACTCTGCATGGCTTGTAGTAGGGGGCCTACCTGCACAGACTGGGCCATCAACTTGCTTTGAGCCAGATGGGATGGTACAAGTTGGACCATTATCCTTAATGTGCCCATTTGACTCAGCTTGCTGTGAGACAGAAGGGACATCACTAGAAGTTGGGCCATTATCCTTAGTGTACCCATTTGACTCAGCTTGCTGTGAGA